AGTTTAGTGCATGGTTATCATCAAAAAGAACTGACTTCAGTGGGGGGGGGTGCGCATGTGTGCGTGCACATGTATATGCATGATGTGTTACAGAAAGAATGCTTTGCTTGAAAATAGGGTTTGAAGAAAACCTTTTAAAATGCTCTAAAGCAATGGACGAGAGAGCTTTAGGAGGAAAGAAGCACAAAAAACTGACTGAAATAGTGGATGACTTCATGGGTTTCTGCCATGAGTTCAAACACATTGTGTCCGCTCCAGTTACCCACAAGGACCACTCCTCTGGGGAAAAGCTTCCTATTTTTAAAACCGAGTGTAATGCCTGTGGAATCACATCGCCCATTCCTACCCGGGCCCCGAGAGTTTATCGTGCACAGTGCTTTTTGCCAAGAACTTGCTCTGTCTTTAGCCACCAAAAAAGAGTTGTCAAAGAGAGGGTGTTTTGGGCCTTGTCTCTGGGTGTATTTTTGTCCCTTTGGGTGTAATGTTTGGCTCCTTCAGATGTAGCTGGACCCTTGTGGCGTATGGGGGCCCTGCGGCAGGGCAGTGCTGGTGACGCTGGGTGGAAGGACGGATGGGCTGTTCTCCGTTTCATCTTCCAGTTACAGCCCATCTCCACCATTGGCACGTGCAACTAATATTAAAAGAGCAATTTGATGATATGCAAGATATATATATGATTTTAAATGAATAGAATTGTATTAAGCTTACGGTTGTACAGCCTGCTTTTCCACTCAATAATATATTGGGTACATTTTTCCATTTTAGCAAATGGGATAATAATAGACCTAGATAATTTGTAATGACTCTCCGTATGGATGTCATATGCTTTTAATGTACCTTGCCAGGTCCATTTTAAAGGAAATTTACATCATCTATATCCCGCTATTACAGTCTCTGCTATTCAACTACTATTAGAATAACATACTATGTTATTATACTATCATGTTATTATATGTTTTTTGCTATGATACTATTCTTGTTGGTGCATATTTAAAACTTATACAAATATCTTCAGTTACATATTGAGAGGTAGGATGCCTACTGCTGGCAAATATTGCCAAAGCAGTCTTACATATTATAATCACATATTATAGTCCATGTGTTATAGGCTGAATGACAGAGTGACTCAGAGGCAGGGGCTCATTTCAGGCTGAGGTGGCCACCATGGGCTTCACAGAAGTGAGAGAGGAAATGGGCCTTGCATGTCAGACGCAATTGTGTTAACTGTATACGTAAGGCAAGAACAGCATAAGCACAGCGGGGAGGCCGAAACAAAACAAAACAAAACAAAACCAAAAAAACACAACCAATCAACCAAATGACCTCAAAGCCAGGACAGTTGAGGGCAAGCTCGACATCCACGGGTAAACTGGTTCAGCTCCATCAGTAGCAGAGCGACGCCGGGCCAAGCCTGGGGAGTAGGCTGGGGGGTCAGAGGAAAAGGCTTCGAGCGGCAACATAAAGGAAATTTAAAGGGTTTTATTGTGTAGACGAGCGGGAACCGAGAGTGACATGCCCGAGAGAAGCGTAGGATGACCAAGCCCCGGTCTGTTCGCGGTGGTGCTCTGTTCCTGCGCCTCGGATTGAAGCCCAGGGGCCTGTATGTCCCCCCGGGAGTCACAGGACGCTGCTGGCAACTGAAATCTATAGGCATGTCCCCCTGTTAATTGGTGCTAAATCCAGAGGCCTTATTTTAGCAATTGTTTCCTTGTTGGGCTTCCATTTGGAACTTTTCAGTTTTACCTTTGAGCTTACCCCCCTAATCATAGCTTTTTGAGATCCCTCTGAACCTTTCTTCTGCCATCCAGCATAGTATCTCTCCTCAGGTTAGGTCATTTGTGAATTTGATAACCTTGTAAGGTTATTGGGAGCTTTACATGAGAAAATATATATGAAACGTGAAAAAAAAATGCAAAGAATAAGTTTTAAATTTTACAGTTTCTACAGTAATAAACAAAGTAGGACAATCATGATCCAGAAGGGATAAAAGACCACCCTCAACTCTTTGAAGTCTGCTTTTTTGCCACGATAAGTACTTATTAAAGTGAAAATCCAGGCAATGGCTCACCCCCAACCAGTAGGTCGCAGTCCTAACATTGGTGAGGCAGGTGTGCCCCCTTCCCGGGCGCGTCGGGAATCAGAGACCCGAGCAGCGGGCACAGCCGCGGGGACGTCAGCCTCGGGGGAGCTTGTTCCCCGGGCAGCTTTTACAGAGATAAAGACGGGGCTTCACTTTGGCCGGCCTGAGTCCCCGAGGAGAAGGGTGCGGTGAGAGTTTTAATGTAGAGTGTGGAGCAGATGAAGGTGAGGAGGGAGCGATCCCGCAGGAAGGAAGCAGATTGAGGCAGGTCACCTCTCGTTCCGCGGGGCCGCCTGGTCGCCCTCACGCGTCCCGTGACCCTTAGGTGTGTCATTTTACCTTCCACTGGATATTGAGTTCTTTCGGATGGCAAGTCTAGATCTTAACCATTTCTGAAGCAAGAGGTTAAGCTCCGAATTTGTGAATAATATTCCCTTTTCCCCGCCCGAGGCCTGAGCCAGGCTCCGGCCCCATCAGGGGAAGAGCTAAGGTGCGAGTCGTCATTAGCTCTGGTTTGACTCCTGAAAGGGCGTCCGTGTGCTGTGACCGGCGGGCGTTCTACACGTAGCAAACCACACACGCCGTTTTTTTTTTAGTTTCTAGAATCATCTGGACAAAAACCCTTCTTTCTAACAAAACGAGGCACTCTCCCACCCACTCAGTGAATGTGCCCAGCTGTGCCTTAACGTCTGCTTGCCCACTTCTCTCTCTCTTTCTGTGGGGTGCGGAGTGGGAGCGACCACGCCCAGATCGCCACCAGCGTGACGTGACCACTGTCCTCTGGAAGGAGCACTTATGGCTCGAGAGAGGGTTGGGCAAGGAGAAGAGGGAGACTCCTAATTTTCATGGGGTCTCTGGAACAGAGGCGGGCGGGGGGGGGTGCGACTCTCACCCCGCGGTTCCCTGCGCCCCACGCAGGCTGAGTCTCCGCTCCCCCGCTCTTCCTTCCTTCCTTCTTTCCCTCTTCTTTTCTCTCCCCCGTCTCTCTCTCCCCCCATCTGCCCCTCTCTGCTCCTTTCCTCTGGCCTATTGAAGCGTCTCCGTGTCGAAGAATTATTTGATGTCATCACAGCTCCAAGCCATCCATTTGTCAATACAGGAAATTGTAATTATTTTTAATAAAAGAGAAAGGGAAGGAGGTTGTGATTAATGTTCAGGGAAACCAGGCGACCATCCAAAAAAAAAAAAACACTGTGTCTCCAGGACAGCAGCAGAAGGAATATCCCTCTGATCACATCTGACATCGCCTCACGGGACTGGATGATTTCTTGGGGGCTGGGGACTATTTTTCCAAGATATTATAACTCAGTAAGAAAGAGTATTTTTCAGATTCCGTTTCTCCCAAGCATCTCTGGCTTTAGAGCAAAATCATTTTTGTTTCTATTCTTTTATTGCTCTTTTGGTTCTGTTCCAAAGGATGCAAAAACAATCTTTGGGCCCTGGCATCATCCCAATATGCCAGGGTTGCAGGTTTGATCTCCAGTCAGGGCACATATAGAATCAACCAGTGAATGCATAGATCTCTCTCTCCCTCTCTCAAATGAATCAATAAATAAAAATTTTAAAAAGAAAGAAAAGTTCTTATACTACAGCCAAGGGTCCTAGCTCTACATATCTATACTCTCTTCCCTTTAAAAAGAAATCTTTGGGGTCTCTACTCCTTGGGCACTCCTTGCCAGCATGCCCCACGCATGGGTGAAGTAGGCGGCCTCGGCCGTGTGGCTGGGAGACAGGGCAAGCAAGAGAAGAAGGGCCACGCTCTCCTCGCACGAGCTTCTGGGTCGGGAGATGGCATTGTCCGCAGCTCGTCTGCCAGAAGAGCAGCGGTGGAGCACGGTCCACCTTAGGCTGAGGGAACTGTCTGCTCCGTTGAGGCTGCGATGAGCACATTTCCCGCCCCCGGAGTGGCAGGCGCCGGCCGCTGTGGGAAGCGTCCAGCGAGTCCCAGGGGCCGCTGAGCTCTGGGTGGGTTGTTGTTTCTTAGGCTGGCTCTCTGGTGAGAACGGCAGGCTCTGTTTGCTCACGGTGAAGTGTGAAGTGTCGCTGAAGCCAGGACGGTGAAGGTCTTTGACTCGTGATGAGCTTGTAAAGAGATCAAATGCTTGTGTCCTTTCTTTTCTAATGGGCCACAGGGCATGTGTTTTGAACAGACCATTGATGTGTAAGTGTAAACATAATATTGCCTAGTGCTTTGAAGACCGGCAATAAAGATACTCAGTATCCTAAGGTAGCTGTAGTTAGGGGTAGAGTTTCTATGGATTAAGGGACTAGAAAGAGAGAAAAAATATATATATATAATTAATATCCTTTGCAGTAGTTTTATGACATCTTCTCCTACTTCTCACTCATCTCTCTTTTTTTTAATCTCTCTTTTACTTTCTTTCCTAGCCACTATTTCCCTTTTAAAAAGCAATGTCTGGAAACAAGCATATACTGAGAAAAAGATTCAGTCGGTCTTCTTATCATAAAAAAGATCAGGAGTGTGATAGAGAGAAAGAGGGACTGAGAGTTAGGAGATCTTCACCCCGGCCCAGGGATAGTTCTCAGGACAGAGAACTGGGCGCCTCATTGGATTTATCTTGAAGAAATCATCTGGGCGCAGGCTGGGGACTTGAAGCTGATGTCGAATGTTGAGTATTTGTATAAATATTAGAGTGCTAACAAGGTGGGATATTATTGATCTTAGAATAAACATCCCAAATGTCTTCATGGCAGCTTGGTCTCTGCCTCTCTATCCCCCTGAAAGGCAGCGCTGGATGGGTGTGTCAGAGTCCCCGGTGCGCTGTGCTCTTCTCCATGTGCTGACACCTCGGCGGGACCCTGACCCCTCGGCCTGCCCCTGACCCCCCGGCCTTCCCCTGATCCCTCGGCCTGCCCCTGACCCCTGGGAGTGACGCTCTCCCCTCTCGGGTCTCCGTAGGGCCTACATGAGCGTGAAGGAGCTGAAGGAGACGCTGCAGCTCAACAGCACGCACTTCCTCAACGTCTACTTCGCCAGCTCGGTGAGGGAGGACCTTCTGGGTGCTGCCACCTGGCCCTGGGAGAAGGAAGCCCTCAGTCACCTGGGTAAGTGACGTGGAGCCCAAAGGTGGTTGAAAAGCAAGAGGCCCCAAGAAAGTTTGTGAAAGTGAGTCTGGGGGGGAAGAAAGAGCATGGCTTTGGGGAGAGCCTGTCAAAAGGTTTCGGTGCCGCAGGTAAGAGGTGTGAGCGCAAACAGGGTGCCCTGGGCCAAGCCTATAACCTACATGTAAAAAGGTGATGACCTGGAGGTACAACATATTACGCCAAAAGAATGAAGGCAGAGCGAAGTAATACAAATGAGAGAGAAAATACAAATAAAATAAAAAGTAAACATTAATTAGAAAAAAATTAACAGAGCCAAAAGTTTTTTGGGGAGAGAGGGGCAAGGATTGATAACCCCCTAGAAAGACTGATCAAGAAAAAAAAAATCACACAAGAGAGAAGGAATATATTACCACTATGAGGAATAAAGGAGGCAATATTCTTAAATATACTACAGGCATTAATAGGCAATAAGTATTTTCCACAAATGGTGCTGAAGCAATTGGACATCCACAGGCAAAAGAAAATGAATCTTAATGTGAATCTTACACCTTGTACAGAAATTAACTCAAAATAGATCATGTATTTAGACATAAAAAAATAAAACTACAGAACTTTAAAAAGAAACATAGAAAATCCTCAGTGCAGGCTACACAAAGAGTGAACTTATATGTAACACCAAAAGCATCGTCCATATACATAATAGCTGATAAATGGTACTTCATCCCAATTTAAAACTTTTTTCTAAGAAAGACTGTTAAGACAGACAAAGAAACATCAGACTTGGAAAAAATATTTGCAGACCGCACATCTCGCAGAGGATTTGTATCTAGACTATGTAAAGAGCTCTCAAAACTCAACGGTAAAGCAGACATTGCAGTTAGAAAATGCACAAGGACATGAACAAACATTTCACCACAGAGGAAATACAGATGGGAAATAGCACATGAACAGATGTTCAGTATCATTAGCCATTAGGGAGATTCAAATCGAAACCACATGAGATATAACTACACACGTATTAGAGCAGCTAAAATAAAAAATACACGGGATGTAAGGTACAGCCCAGGGGATATCGTCGATACTGTGGCGCCCCATTTGCACGCTGATGGATCTCTACTAGGCTTACGGTGACCACATCGTAAGGTATGTAAATGTCGAATTACTATATTGTACACCTGAAACTAATCTAGTATTGTATGTCCACCATACTTTAATAATTTTTTAAATAATGACAATATTAAGTGCTGGTGAGGACACAGGGAAGCTGGATCTCTCGTGCATGGCTGGCGGGAATGGGAAACGGCCCAGCCACCCTGCAGGACTCTGCGGCAGTTTCTCATAAAACTAAACGTGCACCTGCCCTGTGACCCAGCCACCGGACTCTTGGACATTGGTCCTAGGGAAATGGAAACATATACCCATTAAAAAGCTTTTACATTGGTCTTCATGGCAGCTTTATTTGTAGTAGATTCAAACTGGAAACGGCAAACGTGAGTTCAGTGCTCACTGCTGACACCCCCTTAGCCCATCTGTAGACAATGGAAACCCCTCAGCAACAGAAAGGGACAGAGGATCCGTGGGTGGAACGTCTCCAGGGACTCTCAAGGGTATTGTGCTGAGTGAAAAAAAATCTCCCAAGTTCCATGCTGCATGATTCCATTTATCTCGTATTTTCAAAAGGACAGAATTATAGACAGAGGCCAAGTCAGTGCTTGCCAGGGGTTAGGGGTGAGCTTGAGGCGGGGGAAGGGGTATAACTGTGGTTTTGACAAAAGGAGAGCAGGTGGTAGATCTTTTTTTTTTAATACTCACCTGAGGATATGTTTAGAGAGGGTAAGGGGCAGGGAGAGAGAGGGAGGGGGAGAGAGAAACATCAGTTGGTTGCCTCCCGTAGGCGTCCTGACCAGGATCGAACCCACAGCCTAAGCATGTGCCCCGACCAGGGATCGAGCCCGAGTGTTTTGGTGTATGGCACCATATCCCTGTGATAAAATTGTATAGAGCCACACACCCACCCTCGCGAGTGCATCGAAGGCCTTGTGAAACCTGAGTAAGGCCTGTGACCTCTATGCAGAGGCCGAGTCCTCGGCATACAGCAGGTGCTCTGAATGCTCCCTGAATGCAGCGGTGAATGAATATGTGAGCGAGAGTATTAAATTTAAATGGTTTCCAGAATTATCTCATGAATTATTGCCTCATCATGAATTGCAAAAGAAGCTGGGCATACTTATGTTTTTTACTCTTAAACATTTTAGGAACAGCCGTGTCCCCCTACAGCGTAATATGTAATGTGATCTTCAGAAGTAGACTGAGCAGCTGAGAGGTCTGACCCGATAGGAAATGGCTCACGCACGTATCTATTTCTTCTTGCTCAATCATCACTGTGACCGAACAAAGGAATTTCACTGACCTAAAATAAACTAGGTGTAGAGCAGTACAGACTGCTGGCATAGCGTGATAAGGGAAGGCATTTGGGATTTTCTTTTTTTTAATGTATCTTTATTAATTTCAGAGAGAAGAAAGGGGAGGGAGAGAGAGAGATAGAAATATCAATGATGAGAGAGTCATTGATCGGCTGCCTCCTGCATGCCCCTGATTGGGGATCGAGCCTGCAACCCCGGCATGTGCCCTGACCGGGAATCGAACCCCCATCGCCTGGATCCTAAGTCGACACTCAACCACTGAGCCATGACCGGCTGGGCAGGATTTTCTTAATAGAGTCTTTTTGGACTTGAGATTATCTGTTTGTGTCAACATGTAAGATGCCTGCGTGTTGAGAGTCAGCTGAGTGACCTAGCAGATAGGAACACTAGCCTGAAAGATTGAATCCTATTTCTGATGACCGGTGGCTTCAGTGACTACCTGAAAAGACCAAGAAAATTTGTAGTCTTGCTTTGCCATTAACATCATTTCTGCCTTTTAGCGTAATTTTGACAAAAGTGAGTCAAATCCCGTTGGTAACGCAGGGCAGAATTTTTTATAAGCAGATGAATGCATGAGATCTCCTGCCACATAGTGGGGCCTCAGAAATATTAGCTTCATTAGTAGCGGCAGTGATAACAGCAAAAGTGTAGATGTTTCGAACATTGTGTTCCTGGGTTTGCCCACAGCTTCCTTCCCAGCTCGCTTCTAACCTGGAGGCTTTTAGTGCCCTGGGGAGTTGTTGGCTCCTTTATAAAGAAAAAAAAAAAGTGTGTTAAGGGGTCCAATTGCTGGCAATGTCAGAGCAGCTTCTAAGAAGCAAAAGGAGCCTCCTTATCAGTCAGAGAGGGAACGAGTGAGTGACGGGTGGCCATTCTGGGGCTGGGCAGGGCCTGTGAATGTCACAGGGCCCAGTGGACCGGAGGAGAGCAGCTATCTTGGGGTGATGCTGGAGGGACAGCTGTCTGGGGAGGGTGAATCAACAGCTGCGTAGAGGGCAGGGCAAGGTGGTAGCAGCGGAGATGAGCTCAGAGGTGGGATATCTTTCCATCGCCCAGAAGGTTCATAGGGGGTCTCCCAGGACACACCTCGCCTTCCTCCTAACCTAACGGCTGCCATGGAGAGCGGGGTGTTCCGCCTTTGGTAGCCTCAGCCAGGTTGTTCCAGCGAGTGCAGGTGCAGATAGCAGAGTGGGGAGGTGGGAGAGGCCACAGGAGGTACAGAGGGGAGCTCGGGTGCACTGGCCATTAAATGGTCGGGCCAGAGCAAAGGAGATGTCACCTATCCACTGGTCTTCTCCACCGCGCCAGAGCAGAGGGATTCTCCCTGGAGATGGAGAGTGAGCAAGGTATGCACCCTGGAGAGCACCGTGTCGGTACCAGGGACTCTAGGCTCATTAACCAGGCAGGCTACCTGGCGTGAACAACGGGGGGGCTGTGTCTGGGAATCACCCCCTGCCTGCTGTTGTAGATTATTTCATTGTCAGAAGCTGGCACTCAGCAAATGGGGTTGTCCCCGGTGCCTTGCGGTTTTGAATTTGGGTAAGCACCTTGGATAGTGAAAATTTTGGGCAAAATCACCCTAGGATATGATTTTCATAGCCCGAAATTGGGGTGCCCCAAAGGTAGGTTCGTGCATTTACAAGTAGATGGAGTAAATAAGCACCTTTCTGTGTGATTGTTTACCTATAAATAACCTTTATCTCTTCTTTTGAAACATTTCCCAGTAATCATTGACTCCTTGGGGCCCGGAACGGCACCTGACAGAATAGATGCTCAGTAAATGCTAAATTAATAAATGAGTTATAGAAAATATTTTTAAATGCGTATTCTGTAGTGCCTAAAATTCTGGCCTGCCGTGTGTGTGGGGGTGTGTGTGTGTGTATGTGGAGCACTTCCCTCATTCAGAATCAAAGAAAGAATTATATCATAAGTCTCTAATGCTTCAGTAATAACATCTTCCATTTTTTATATCAGATTATTTTTCTCCCATGAGGTGGGAGCAGCTGGAGAGCCCCGAGTGCTTGACAGTTGGAAGTAGGGAAGGCTGAAAGGGTATAAAAGGAGACAAAAAAAAAAAAAAGAAAGAAAAAGACAGCAGACTGCAAAATCTTCACCCTCTACACATTGCTGCCTTGGTTTAGCCCTGCCCAGAATGAGGACTTCCTCGTAATGAGACCCCAGGCTGTAAAACTAAGAAGCCATTGCAAGATCTGGAGATAAATGGTCTCTGGTCTGGTTCTGTAAAAATATGCTTCTTTTTCTAGCTCCCGTGACTTTTTTTTTTTTTTAAACTTTCTCCATTTCTTTCTCTCCCCTTGTGATTCAGTTTCCCTCTGCCACTTTCCTCGGGTCTTCCTCGGACCCCCGCGCACACTTTGATAGCTTTGTCCCTTTGTAGTGAAAAGTGGATTTTGAGGAGCAGTGGTTTTTTTTTTTAAATCCTCACCTGAGGATATTTTTTCCATTGCTTTTCAGAGAGAGAGAGAGAGAAACGTCGATGTGAAAGAGACATATCGATTGCTTGCCCCCCACACGCGCCCTGACAGGGATCGAGCCTGCAACCGAGATGCGTGCTCTTGGCTGGAATCGAACCCGGGACCCTTCGGTCTGCGGGCCGGCACTCTAACCACTGAGCCAAACCTGCTGGGGCGAGGAGCCGTTTTTTAGCTAGTAACTGGAAGTAATTATGTAGGCACCTGCAGACCTGCCCTCAACCTCCGTGTTTTATGGGCATATAATATTCAGCCCTAAAAGTTTTACAGAACTGTTTTAAAGTCATTTCCACTTGTGTCCTTTCCTCAGACTGCCTGAGGGTTTTTGTGTTTTGTGTTTTGGTTTAATGGAAGTGGCTTTGGGAATCGTTCTCTTTGCCACGTGCTGCTCTGGCGGCCTGGCGCTAAGGCTGGGAAAAGCCAGTTGGAAGCTGAGAACACGGCATCACTTCGGGAGCTTGGCTGTCTGCTACTTAGATTTCATCTTTTAATCAGCAGCTTCCCTCTCCTTTCTCCCCCCTGCACCACCCCGTAGGCCACACAACAACCCTGTCTTGTTGTGTTAGCTTGCCCTTGATAATCAAGGCTGAAAGTCCTTCTACGGAGGCGGCTGGGCTCGCCGGCAGTCCATTAAGCAACAGCTGCGTCGCACATGGCCACCAGTTGCTGAATCCAGGAAGCCCCGTTCATATTACAGTTATGTACAGTTAGTGGTGCTGGCAGGTGGCGAGTTCAAGTCCCCGTATATACAATCAGGTATGCAAGAAATGGAGCTGTTATTTAATCTTCTATAGTTGAACTTAATTTCTGTTTCAAGCCCCTATGTTGCTGGATGGTGGAAATATACTCTTAGTCAGTTGAGCTTGTTTTGCCTGGGACCGTATCTAACGTATAAATGCCAAGGCCATCAGGGAAAGGAAGTATAGGAATATTCAAAAGATTGACTATAACCAGAGAGGTGGGAAGGAAAAGATTGCTGGCACTACGGAACCAAAGTGTCTCGTATACATCTGCCCTGCCAGCCAGGCCCATGAAGAACGAAGCCATCAGCCCCCATCCCATAATAAGTCGTTTCCTCCTGGAATCACTAATTTCAGGCTACCCTGAAACATTTTTAAGTGCCAGTCTGTCGTCGAAGAAGAGAATGGACACACATGTCTGTTTTCAACTCCGCCCAAGTCTTGTCTGTCTCCCGGCTGCCCGCGGGCCTGGGGATCAGAACGACGTGGAAACCAAGCAGCCCAGGGGCAGATCGGAGCTGCCGAGTGAGGGCGTTCGCTGCTCTGCCCGGCGATGCCTGGCCTCACTTGGAAGGTCGGTCCTGTTTGTGCTCACATTCTAGCTTCTGTCGTCTTGATGAATGAAGGTGGTCAGGAGGGAGCCGACAAGGGTGGGGCAAAGGAGCGTGTGTGTGGCCAGGGCCCGTTATATAATTAGAGTAACAGTGACAAATGGTCCAGTACCCTCTAGAGTTACTGTGTTCTGAAAAATAAGCGAAACGCTCATTTGTCTCCATTACCACTTCAGTCTTCGTAACAACCCTTTGAAACTGAAACTTGTTATTACCATGGAACTAGATCAGGAAATAGCCTCACGAGCTTTCAAGGAATATTCCCAAAGGTGAGGATCAGTGCATTTCCAGTGAGGAGGGTCCACAGCCAGAGGAGGAGCCACGGTCAACGCCAAAGGCCATCCGGAGTGAGAGAGGCGTAAGGGCCCTCAGAGCCTGACCACATCGCTGCAATGGAAATGGGAGAAAGCGTAGGTGGCGTCAGAAGGTGATGCCGGTGTGTTTGAATATTAATATAAAACAGGACTGGAAAGTAGCAATTGTAGTGTCATTTCCTGATTCCCGTGAAGTCGTTCCTGGGAAAGGAGCGCACATTCCCCTGAAAGGGTGGGAATCACAGGCCCTCAGGCCCGCCCTGGTCTGACCTAGGTGGTGGAGAGGGCAGAAAGGGGCTGCCGTTCTGTGGACTCAGTTTTTGTTGTTGTTGTTGTTTTTTGTGTGAGTGTTTTAAATATATCTTTATCTATTTCAGAGAGAGAAAGGGAAAGAGAGAGAGAAAGAGAGAAACATCAATGATGAGAGAGTCATTGATCGGCTNTATTTCAGAGAGAGAAAGGGAAAGAGAGAGAGAAAGATGGAAACATCAATGATGAGAGAGCCATTGATCAGCCGCCTCCTGCACACCCCCTGCTGGGGATCGAGCCAGCAACCCGGGCATGTGCCCTGACCAGGAATCGAACCTCCATCTCCTGGGTCCTAGGTCGATGCTGAGCCACGCCGGGCTGGGCTGGACTCAGGTTTTATTTATTATTTATCATGTCTTGTTTCTTCTTCATGGAAAGAAAGTCTNTCCATGTCCTGGGTCCTAGGTCGATGCTGAGCCACGCCGGGCTGGGCTGGACTCAGGTTTTATTTATTATTTATCATGTCTTGTTTCTTCTTCATGAAAAGAAAGTCTCGCATTCGTCTTTAGATTTGGGGCAACGAGTCTTTATGCCTCACTCTGGCTTCGGCAGGAAATGTGTGTGTGTGATNGAAAGAAAGTCTCGCATTCGTCTTTAGATTTGGGGCGAGTCTTTATGCCTCACTCTGGCTTCGGCAGGAAATGTGTGTGTGTGATTCTTATCAAAATGTGAAAACTTTTATAAACTAAACCACGAAATAATTGGTATCTTTCTTCCCTCATCCACGTGTGTGTGTGTGAGAGAGATTAGGACCGGCTCCTTTAGTAATTTAACAAGGTTGTCTTAGTTGAATAAAGAGAGGAGAGCGGTGTGGGACCCTGTGTGTAGGAGAGAGGAAGGAGGGAGCAATGTGGTGGAGCGGAGGCCAGGAGGATTCCTAGGCAGTGAATCCGATCCCGGGAAATCCAGGGCAGATCTGAGAGCCGAGTGTCTGTGGCCGCTCCCTCCCAGCTTTCCCCTTCGCCTCAGGCTACGGAGAGATGGGAATCTTGGAACACAGATTACAAGGCCGAGGTGGTGACAGTCCAGGCTAACATACATTTCTTCACATGGTATTTATGGTGTCTCCCGCAGTGCTGCATGTAAGCTCTTAGCGGCCTGGGTGAGGACAGGAAGGGAGCTTAGGGATGAGCCCGGCTAGCCCCCTCATTCTACAGACGGAGAGGCCGGGGGAAGGCCCAAGGGCAGAGCCATGGGCCCACAGCTAGTTAGCGTCAGGACCGCATTCCAGTTCCTTAAGTTCCAGTCCAGTGTGACTCCATAACCTCGGCTCTAATGGGCAGAATTACTGTAAGAGGCCCAGGACCTCGGGATTTTCCTTAATGTGTGTTGGTGCACACAGCACTCCCTCCTAAATTAGAACAGGCAACATCCTATCTAAGGCGCATATGGCATCTAAGCTGGTTACTATGTGTTGCGTGCAGATGATTTGGGGGAGGAAGTCCCATCTCTCTGGAATCAAAAATATTACTGTCAGTAAGTGTGTTAAAAGGCTTATGTTTTTCATTAAAATTTAAGCGCTGTCTGGTTAAATCTATAGCCTCCTGTGTGGGGATTACGCATCACGAGTGCTACGCAGGCCAGTAGTGATCGGTGGGAGGATGTTTTCTGGGAGTGTTGAGGACTCGCGTGTGTATGCTCCTTCCTCCTTCACTTCTAGATAAGCTGGTTCACTGAAAGGTCACTGTAAATCTATGGAGGAATATTCTTAGATCTGGAAACATCTCATCTGGGGTTGAGGCAGAGGCTTCTGGAGGTTGATGAGATGCCCACCATTAGAGTGACCACCCTTGTATCCTCCTGGAGCCCCCAGGGCCACACCCCCAGTCACCCCTCCTTCCTTGACGCTTGCTTCTACAACTGGAGGAGATCACAAGAGGACTGGGCCTGGGTGAACCATAGAATAAGGGGACACTTAATGTTTGCTCGGAGGTGGGACGTGCAGGTAGAAAATGACTGTTGACGGGGTGTTTTCTTTGTCATTGGAAGTGCGTCATGAATTGTGCTCCAAGGAGTCCAGTGTTCCAGAGAGGTCAAAGGTATTCTTCCCCTAACAGGTCTGTGTTCACATAAGTTTGGGAATCAAAGATTAAACAAAGTTGCTGCAGGACTTTTCAGGACGTTGAACGTAATTCTCAGGTCATTGTGACTCTAGGAGGAGGGTGTGGCACATTGCATTTTTCTCAAGCACATTGAACTACTGGTACCACTTTTCTTTTTATAGGTGAATTGCGGCCTTTTAAAGTCTAATTTCTGGAAGAATTTTTACTAGAAGTGATAGAAAGCAACAAGGGAGATGAGGTCTAGCTCTGTTTTGGACGTGAAAGTAGACAATGTACCTCAGGTCGGGCCTGGGCATGGCTCCGTTAATGTCAGCCAGCCTGACAGCGGGGGTTGCCGCAGAATTTTACTAATTAGTTTACGTGTGCCATGAGATGGGAAAGGTTGAAAATTGCTCACCTAGACCAATGGTGCGCAACCTGGGAAGTTTTAAAAAAACATTGAGGCATGGACGTCGCCTCAAACATTCAGATCATTTCACCCGGCTCTCATTTGGACATCTGTGTGTGTTCACGTCTCTGGGTGATTCTGCTGTGCAGCAGGGCTGAGCGTGTGGCCCTTCCCAGTGTCATTTTGTCTGTAGCTTCGCCCTGGTGCAGGGGATGTTTACTGATGAGCTCAGAGGGTGCTTGTGGCCAGAGAGAAGAGCAGGAACTGATGCCACTGGAAGTTATGAAGTGTCCCCTTAGCGGCTGAAATCGAGCACTTGGTAATTTACTAGGAGACATAATTAAGGACCAAAGGGCTGTGACACCTTACCCGCTCAGAGATGTTTTCCAAACCCTCTATTTGCAGGTGGCGTTGTCCTCAATCCGTCCTATTACGGGGTGCCTGGCCATACCAACACCATAATCCACGAGGTGGGGCACGTCCTGGGACTCTACCATGTCTTCAAAGGGGTCAGTGAAAGAGAATCCTGCGATGACCCCTGCAGGGAGACTGTGCCCTCCATGGACACCGGGGACCTCTGCGCCGACACGGCCCCCACTCCTAAGAGTAAGCTGTGCCAGGACCCGGAGCCTGCCAACGACACCTGCGGCGTCACCCACTTCCCAGGGGCCCCGTTCAACAACTACATGAGCTACACAGGTATTGCACAGCCTCGACGTGCTTGCTTTCTGTTAGGGTGACGTGGGGGAGCTTGGGGGCTGGGAGGGTGGACGTGCAGGAGGTGGAGAGATTGATCAAGCAGACGTTTGTGCCCGAGCCCTGAAGTGTATTGATCACGCCATAGTCTTTTCTTCTTGTCTTTGAAGAGCTTAAAGAAATATTGAGATGTTAAGCAGCCTCGTTGCCTAGAGTCTCCTTCACTAGAGATTAGCAGAAAAACACACTTCTAGACCTGTACAACTTGGTCATTCTTGGTCTTGTCCACATTCTAAGGCATTTACTCTGAAAGGGCCTCATAGTGACGGGAAAAGAGGCTTCTGGGTCAAGGGGGCTCTTTGTACTGTTTTTGAGGTTGGTCAAGAAAATGGCCTTGGTTCACGTTAAGCTCAGGATTTTTTTTTCTTTTCCATTTTATGTTATTTTAAAGTATCCGATTCTCTTCTTCCAACATGAGCCAAGGGCTGATCCTTAGCTTACGTCCCCTCCCCAAGTGGATCCATCTCATTTAAAAAATGCCACCTTCCTGGCCTTAGGAACAACTATATTGTCTGGTCTTGTTTTCCTGGATTATGTTTCTTTCTATTCCCTTGACACCTCCCTTGTTTCTGGCCAAAAGTAATACTAGTCGCGGTCTCCTGATAATGGACCCCAATTTATCATTTATTCTTAAATTAAGGCCGGGTTTGATTTAATGACCTGTTCCAGGGGTGAAGGAAGGAGGTAATTTTTCTATAAGGTCCCGGGCTTGTTTGGTGATGAGTTCTAGAACTATCTAAAAAGTAAAAATAAATAAATCAACCATAGCACCGTGGTCATGCCTTCGAAGGGAAGGAGTGTGAGCTGGTCCCGCCTGTCCCTTATCAACAAATCCCTACCCAAGTCTCATCTTGGTGTATAATTCAGGTGCATCACACTCATAAGGACCAGCATCCCTTCCTCCCCCAGGAAGGTCACAGTGGCCCTTGCCAGGGCAGAGCAACCAGGCAATGCGCTGCAGAGGGCAGAGCTGTTCAAGTCCCACCTTTGAAGTGGGCGGGCAGAGGAAACATCTAGGAAGCAAGGGGCAGCCCTGGCCAGTGTGGCTCAGTTGGCCAGGCATCATCCTCTGCACCGAGGGATTGCGGGCTCCATCCCCAGTGAGGTGCATGTAGAAGCAGCTGATCAATGTTGTGCTTTCACACTGATGTTTCTCTCTCTCTCTCCCTCTCCCTTCTCTCTTTAAAAATCAATAAAAATATTTTTAAAAAAGAAGCAGGGGTGAGTGTTTGACTGGCACGCTCTTGTTGGAAAAGGCCCTGGAACTAAGATAACTCTCATTCTAACGCTACAAAAAAAAAAAAAAAAAGTATCTAATAGGGAGATTTTGCCTGCTCCAAAATTGAGGTAGGGACCACACACAGTTCCTGTTCTCCTGCCTCCTTGACGTTTTGGCTTTGTCTCCCCTTGAGCATCGCCACTGAACACTCACTAACCTTGGCCAAAGTCACTGGGCGTAAAGCAGGTGTCTGCAAGTCCACAAACGTTCCCGAGTAGTAAGGCCATATGCTGAAACACTGCCACCTTGTGGCTTCCCAAATAAGCAGCCGCCAGCTCAGAGCTGCCCGGGACCCCTGGGCTCACCCTGGCCCAGCCCAACGTCAAGGTAATGGCCGAGTTAGAGATAGGCAAGTGCTAATCTCTGCCTTCTCTTTCCCATTTTCAGCATAGGATACCTTCTGGAACAGAATACATTCATTCATTCGACAGGTGTTTATGGAGCCTAACAAGTGTGAGGTGTTGTGTTAGGTGCTGGTGACACAGGCGTGAATGAGGCAGAATTTGTCCCCGCCTTGGAGGACTTTGCAGGGTTAACACCTCCATCTCCCCTGTCCCCTTTCTTGTCTCCGCAGATGACAACTGCACTGACAGCTTCACCCCTAACCAGGTGGCCCGAATGCATTGCTATTTGGACCTTGTGTATCAACAGTGGAGTCAAAGCCGAAAGCCCACTCCCATTCCCATCCCACCCATGGTCATCGGGCAGACCAACAAGTCCCTCACCATCCACTGGCTGCCTCCGATTAGTGGAGTCGTGTATGACAGGTGAGAGGGGCCCCTGCCATGGCCACGCCGGCCTGTTTCTTCTGCGGCGTATCTTGTGCGCAAAGGGGAGAATGTGAAGTCAGGGGAACCCCAGCTGGGAACTGTGAACATGAGCCACTGCTGAGGGCTGCCTCCTTCGTCCCTCTCGCTTCCCTTCTCCGCGGCAGAGCTCGTGGGCTCCCCTGGAAGCCCAGTGGCTCCTGGCCTGTTGCTCACTCCTTGGCGAGGGGCCTGGCAGGCGTTTCCCGCAGCATGTCATATCTGGTAGGCTGCCGAGAGCTGTGACGAGGTTGGCAAATAGGATGAAAGTGAACTGACACGGCTGAGATGGCATTTGCCACCTGGCTGGGTCAGCCCCTCTCCTCAGTGTAAGGTGGCGCCGAGGCTGCTCCTGCACAGTGGCGTTTGGGGGAAGGGAAGTGAGCTGTGCTCTTCCCGTCGGTTCTGGGGGTGGGTGGCAGGCTACCCACTGCCACAAGCTGGGAGCTGGGGGGCTTACTTGGATCATGTGGGCATTTCTGGTGCCCTCTCTGTCTCCTGGTGTACCCAGTGCCTGCCCCACTTATGGCTGCCATCCTGCGGAGTTGTCATCAGCTGGCAGCTCCTTGGGGGCAGGAGCATCTGTTTCATGCATCTTTGCCTCTGGTCCTGCCGCAGTAGACACCTAATATGCGTCTATTGAAGAGAGTCATCGTATCTAAGATTAGCTTTTATTTGTCCTTTGCATACTGGTGTAAATGAGCACCCGGGTAACTTTTGCCCAAAGGAGAGAAGGTAGGAAAAAAATGACATCTGATAGTTGGTGGGCGGCTGGGGGAATGTGCTTTAAGGAGAAAGACCAGCACCCCATCCGTGACCCGCGCGGGATCCCTGCTTTCCAAGCCTGCCGCCGTGTTCCGGGAACCGGAGCGGCTGTGGTCTGCACGTCCCTTCTTTAGCCCTTGCAGTAGGCACGCTGCTGCTGTATGGGTGAGACACTGAGGCACAGAGCATCTCATGGGGCCAGCCCAGGCCCGCAGCTGAAGACACCCGCGCAGCTCCGCTCGGACAGGCCGAGCAGCAAGTCCCCCGTGGACATGTGCGGAGCAGGGTTTTACATCCGTTTATGTAACACATGTGAAAAATTTAATCCTTCCGTCCTCGCTCTGGTACAAATGTTGCGATCAAGCAGACATCAGTGCTGGCTCGCGGCGAGGCTGTTGGCAGAAGCGGCCACACTGGCTGCCTCTTTCCAGCCCGGTGGGCCGCCCGCTGAGGCCTCCCCACACGTGTGTCCGGGGAGACGCACGTCACGCACCCGGCGATTTGTGTCACGCTGGGAGTTCTGTTTACTCCTCCCCAGTAGGTATTTGCAGCCCTTAGGTCAGCGAGGAGCCCGGCCACGCACTCGGCAGCCGCCCCGGAAGGGCCGAGTGCATCAGGGAAATGCGGTTTGGAGCTGTGTCCACGCAGATGAGAGTGCCGGCTGGGCGAGGTCGGAGCCAATGACACCTTTCCGTTGCCAGAGTGCCGGACACTTCATGGTGTTTGGGAACTTGCTCAAAGGAATTGAGGAACTTGTTGTGACCTTAGGCAATTTACTTAATCTCCCTGAGCCTGAGTGTGCTCATTTATAAACAGGCTTCTTACAGGGATTCCCAATGATTTATGAAAAGCACCCTGTGGCGCCATGCCAGGTATGTGGGGCTTGTAGCGTAATTATGACCCCTCTTGAACAATATTAGTTTTCTAGGCTGTTACCGGATATTACTTTTCCCCCTTCGTGTTGAGAGACCTTGATTCAGTGCCTCCATTTCCAGATGTGTGATTCACAGCCGGCTTCTAAAGAGATTCAAAGTATCAGACACGAACCTCCTGGAGGGGCTGCCCCTTGCTATTTAGCTGTTGTTGTCCTGCTTTTCCCAGTTACGCCAGATATGGTGTTTGAAGAGTTCTTCCCAGGTTGTGTGAACGGTCTCAGGGATGCCCATAAAACACCCCCCCTAGAGGGACTGCTGGGCGTAGAAAGAACAGAGCTCCGTCTGGACTTGCTCACAGGCAAAGGAGGAGGAGTGGGGTGGGGATTCTCACCACCCAGAGCGATGCCCCAGGACAGGAGCCAGAAGGTGCAGGAGGTGCCCGGAGGAGAGCGTGCAGGCCACTCAGAGAGTCAGACTAAGCGCCACTGCCAAGGTTACATTTGAATGGGCCTTGAAGGGTATGTAGGAGTTTGCTAAACAGAGGGGCTTAGAAAGGCTGTGCTAACGGTAGGATGTGTTTGTGGAATGGTGGTTAGTTCATCACGATGGGGACATAAGATTCGTGAAGGAGGTATCTTGTGAAGGACCCTGGGTCATGGTAAGGAATTCAGCTGTCTCCCCCCAGGCGATGGAGAGCCCAGGGCATTGCCTTCCATAGGCCTCTTATGTATGTGATTGAAAGTAGGGAGTTTAAACATAAGCCCACATACGTCAGAAAAGTTTACTCTGAAAGCTGGTGTCTGTTTTAGCTGGGGGAATGCGAGGGTCTTCGGGTGACTTACTGAGAGTCAGGTGGGGATGAGTTTTGTGGTAGAAGACTCGGATGCATTCTTTTGTGTTGAATGCTTGGGGATGGAAGATGCCCATTTTCATCTCCACAGGCCTCCCTTAGGACTTAAATTCTGCTTCATAACCTTGAGATTCCTCATGTCACTATGAATTTTACAAAGATGAGGTGGAAATGAGATGAGAAATACTTGTGTTCCCCATTACCCCCTAGGGTCTCATGACCTATTGCCACTCCCCCCGCCCCCAAAGGTCTCCTGACTTTGTCTCTCCAAGTCACCTGATGGAGCCTCCCCACCTCCCCCTTCATCTTCCCAGGGCCCCAGGCAGCGTGTGTGGCGCCTGCACAGAGGATGGGACGTTCCGTCAGTACGTGCATGCGGCTTCCTCCGGGCGGGTGTGCGACTCCTCAGGGTACTGGACTCCAGAGGAGGCAGTGGGTAAGGACCGTGGCTTTCTCGTTTAGCCTTGGTGGCTGCTGAGAATGGGAGGGGGGTGGTGTGAAAGATGGAGAGGTGGCGTGTGTGTGCAAGTGTGTGCACGAATGTGTGTGCACACGTGTGTGTGAGTGTGTGTGAGTGTGCATGTGAGTGTGTGTGATTTTCTGGGGAGCACTCTGCCTGGTACCTTTGTGTGCTAGATGCCCACACGTGCTTAATTTGGAGGCCCAGTGGCTGGGGTGAGGCAGGGGTCGGCGCAGAGGGCAGAGGGACGGGGCATCAGCTGAAGCTGGAGGGGACCTCAGGTGAACAGCTCAGGCGTGCGGTGTTCCAGGCGCTTGTGGCCCATGGAGCAGCCTCGCCGCAGCATAGTGCGGGCCGACCTGTCCCTCCTCTCCACCAGGGAGAGTGGAGAACACATTGCAGGGGACACTCATGCACCGGCCGAGCCAGCCTGGTGGACGTGGGCTGGGCCGGGGCTTCCAAGCAGAGCGTTCTCTTTTTGCCATTTTATGAGTCTATTAATCGCCGGTACTGGTTGTGCTTTGCTTATGATCTAAGCGGGGCTCTAGGAGGGAGGAAATGTTTTTAGCTGTCCCTTTTTCTGTCTCTCCCCCAACTCCTCAGCTACATATTCACTCACATGCCTCCAGGACACATTAGAGCATGAATGTTACCCCAACTCGGGTCCAGAAAATGCGGTTACAGGAGGTTTAGCACCTTCCGACCACTGCCCTGGCTCTTCCATCCTCGCCGTCACCAGTGTTTACCTAATCACAGTCTTTCTCTTTTTCTTATGTTTATTAAGATCCTAAAAACTACTCCATAAGCTGTGTGGGACATGACCCTTATGCTCCTTTATTTTTCTTCAAAGATGCCATTACCACGCGGAATTGCCCTTCTACCTTCTACCTATTTATTGTTGCACCTGTCACCCTGTTGTAAGACGTGAGGGCAAGGCCTTTATCTCCCTTGTTCGATACTCTACCTCCAATACCTAGATTAGTGCCAGGCGTGAAAGAGGCACGCAGCGCATTTTTGTTGAATGAGTGAGTTAATGAATGCGTTCACAGTGCAGGCAAAAAACCGGTAAGGCCCACCAGATGTAACACCCACACACCACACACAACACACACACGTACATTTGAACTTGTTTCCTCCGGATTTATCCTATTGTTTATTTTCCAAACTCTGAAGGACTGAGTTGTTCTATTTTTGCCAATGTAGTTTGCAAAGGTTCCTCTGGAGCATTGTATAAATCTCCCACACTAACTAGTAAGCCAGGGGTTAAACAGTACTTACATTATAAATGAGGAAACTGGGGCTTACAAAGTCCTTGTGAATAGTTACACCTGAGTCCTCAGTAGTACCCGAGACCTAACCCACTGAGCTGACCAGCTTCTGCAGGAATTAGTTCAAAGTTTTCTTCTTGGCTGCTGCTGTGGGCTGCTCACTTGCAGACTTACAATGGCCATGCCTGACATGTCCGTCTTTCTGTCCATCTCCCTCAGGGCCTCCAGACGTGGACCAGCCCTGTGAGCCGAGCTTGCAGGCTTGGAGTCCAGAGCTCCACCTGTACCACATGAACATGACGGTCCCCTGCCCCACAGAAGGCTGCAGCCTGGAGCTGCTCTTCCAGCACCCGGTCCAAGCCGACACCCTCACCCTGTGGGTCACCTACATCTCCACGGCCTCCTCCCAGGCGCTCTTTGACACGGAGATCTTGCTGGAGCACAAGAAGTCTGTGCACCTGGGACCCCTAGACACATTCTGCGACACCCCGCTCACCATCAAACTGCACATGGATGCCAAGGTCTTGGGGGTGAAGGTCTACACCTTCGACGAGCGGATGGAGATTGACGCGGCTCTCCTGACGTCTCAGCCCCACAGCCCCCTGTGCTCTGGCTGCAGGCCTGTGAGGTACCAGGTTCTGCGGGAGCCCCCGTTTGCCAGTGGCTTACCCATGGTGGTGACGCACCCTCACAGGAAGTTCACAGACACGTGAGTTGGGCAGTAGGGGTTTCTACACCGTGGTGCTTCCTGGGGCTTGGGGAGTGGGTTTTGTCCCCCCCCCCATTTTTTCACACTCTGACATACCCTTAGTTGGAGAGAGGTTCAGAATCTCAGAGGGGGTATTACTCTAAAGCGGCATATCTGAGATGAAGGAAAATGTTTCCCAGAAAGGGACAAGCAGCTGTCCTGACCAATGAGGCCATCGCGATGATTACGGAGAACGGAGGTTAGCGTGTGAGGGGTTTCCGTTGGACTGAAAGTAATTGCCACACACAAGTTGATCAGAGTCAGGCAGTCCCATCTGGTGTCACAGTTTACCTTCTGATCCTTTGCTGAAACTTTCGGATAGTCTGCCACAGCTCCTGTGGCACTCGGAGGGTATAGTCCACGCATCCGCGGCTAAGTCAGGAAGCCGGCTGTCCTGAGACCCTACATGGTGTCTGACTCACCCATGATGTGTGCTTCATGCTCTCTCCCTTTCTTGCCCCTCCCTCCCTCCCAACTCTCCTCTTTCTCTTCTGTTCTATCTGCGTTTACTGAGCTCTGCTGTGTACCCAGCACTGTGTGCTCAGCGCTGGGGACACAGACTAAGATGAGGTCGTTGGCTTAAACGAGTTGTGTCTAGGGCCGAAGGCTGGTACCGCCAAAGACAAATTCTCCTACCTCATGATTTTTTGCGGAGACCGCCTTCTTGAACTGCCTGGCACTCTCACGAGAAGACTGCTTCCCCAGAGACAGCTAATTTAGAAATGTCAAAGTCCTTAATATTTAAGTGTCTTTCCTATTAAAATAACTAAAAGCCAGTACAGAGGCTTTTAAAGGTGTTTTTGAAACCCCATGACATTTCTTGTCTGCTGGTGGCAGCATCAAGCGAGAGAGTGAAGCTTTGTGGTTGAGCTGAAGAGTCTGGGAGCTAAGAGAAGGCCTTGGTAGGAGGTTTACGGTGGCCGCTCATGGCAGTCCCCGCAGCCCTTTGAGATCCTGTCCTCTGAAGGCACTCCCATCCCACCTAGAGTTGGACGGCAGTTTTCCAGGGCAGGCACTAGACAAAATTAAGATGAGAGAAGAATTTGTCTTTGGAACCAGCAGCCCCACCTTGTCGAGCCCCCACCCCTTCTAAATGTTCTATCCCTTGTGCTCTCTACCTGATCAGTGGACTTGGACTCTGGAGAGAGTCTGGCAAACTCTGTCCATCCCTGCTGTCAACTGATAAAACTCCACACCTGGTATATGTGCATTTTGACAGGTTTGGAGGTGGGGAGTAATTGAACACATTTCTAGTTATGGAATTTCTTGCATTCCCAAAACGATGATGGGAGGTGTTCTCTCCCCCTAAGAGACAGTGCTCTTTCCCCTGTGGATTCAGTCTCCCCCAGCAAGAATTTTCTTGAGAGACAATAACAAACAAAAACCTATAATCCACAGTCACAAAGGGCCTTGCTGAGCCCAAACTCTGAAGTTTCATCTGCAGTTTCTTTGATTACTTTGCCAATACACTACTTTTTCGGTAGTTGGTGATTTTTTTCAACATGGTAAAGATACTCTGGAAATACCACCCTCCTAGATTTTGTAGGACTGTTAGCTAGGTCAGCATTAGTTCAGCCATGATTTACTGCATCGTCACTATGTAGACGCACTAGGAGCACAGATCCTGCTGCTGTGGGAGACCGCATGCCTGGGTCTTTGTTTCAGAAAATGGGACGTATGTTTGACATCGGGGTTCCCCATTACATTTTCTTTAAACTCCTGAACTTTCTGGATGTGGTAGTCACGGCCCGTTGGTTTCCACAGGGAGGTCACACCTGGGCAGGTGTATCAGTACCAAGTCCAAGCTGTGTCAGGAGCAGAACTGGGAGAAGCCTCGCCCCCTCTGAGCCACGTCCACGGTGCTCCTTACTGTGGAGATGGGAAGGTGGCCAGGTGAGTACTGTGTGACGGGCATGTGAGAGCAAGAAGCCCTGCCCTGCTCTGACCCAGAGTGTCAGCCTCAAGTTTCAGCTCGACTTGTTTTGGACAAGTAAGTGGCAGGGCACTCTAGGATCTGGTAATGATCTTGCGAGGTCACTCACCTTTCTGCGTAGTTTAGGAGGGGCCCACTTTTGTTTTGATCTCACTCCAGAATACTGAGATATCGGGGCTGATTTCGGGTGTGTGGGTAGCTTTTAAGGCCTCATAAGTCTATCGGGCAGCAGCGCATGAGATGATACACAGTATGCTTATATTAACTGTAAAGATGGTCTCCAAGATGAAAACAATCTGAAGTTTTCTTCAATTCTGTTATTTTTATATCTCTTTTTCTCCATTTACAACTTACCATTTAAAATATAATTTATTTTAAAGCATTCTCATGTCTAATTATTTAATCTTTACTCCATCCCCATGAGGCAGTATACTTTAAACAATGGTTATAGCTACTAGTGATGTCCTGGGTTTGAAAAACGTTAGCATTCCAAAACCCTTTACCTACTGAGTTAAAATGTGTTTCCATTTTTGACATGAAGAGTCGGAAACAATGGTAACCCTCAATCCATTTGGCAATGGCTGAATCTTAGTTATGTCAAAGTGGCTTTAGCACAGGTTTATATATTTTGTTCCCATAACATGCTTCATGTACCTGTCACTCTAAACTAACTTCCTCACCTTAGTCCAAATTTAGTCATTCGTTGTATCAGCTTTGGGGATTCAAAAGAAAAATGACATTTTTCCTCTCCTAGTACAGGGTGGGACAAAAGTAGGTTTACAGTTGTGAGTACGTGAAAAACAGAGTTTATTCTTATATTGTTATTTATTAATTATTGTTTCTTTTCCATACAAACAACTATAAACCTACTCTTGCCCCATCCTGTATTCATTTCTCCCCTGCAATACTTATTAGCTGCCACCAGGTAGTAGTAGAGAGCAAGGACAGGGACCTGAGCCATAGATGCCTGGACTGAGGGAAGGCTGCAGTTGGCCGCTGAGTCTTTTGTATGTAGACAGATTTCAGTTCTACAAAATCCTAACTTTAACAACAACTGCATATAGATTGAACAAAACTGTGAAAACAAAGAAATATAAAAAGATAAAAAGAACAGAAAACAAAACCACACATAGTCAGGCAGGTTTCTTCCTCACCAAATCCACTATTTCTCAGATTTCATTCATAACAGGCTGGTTGGCATGTTCTAGCTTAAGACCACTTACTAGAAACACCATTGGGACCCCTCATGGGTCTTCTAGATGTTTGTGAACCATGAGATACTTGGATTTGAGGAATTCCCACAAACCACTGGACACACCAATCAACAGTCATTGCTTAACTCTATAAATGTCTGTATACTTAATTTTGTTTTGTGTGTGAAAGCATGCTCTTAGCTCCCACTATTTGCCAGCTTGCAGTTTTTAAATTTTTAAGTTATAGTTGACATTCGATATTATTTTATATTAGCTTCAGGTGTACAGCATTGTGGTCAAATAATTATTTAACTTACAAAGTGCTCCCGCCCCCGATATTGTTAGTACCCACCTGGCACTATGCATAGTTATTACAATATTATTGACTATATTCCCTATGCTGTACTTTACATCCCTGTGACTATTTTGTAACTGCCAATTTGTACTCTTAATCCCTTCCCTTCCCCCTGTTCACCCAGCCCCCCAATATCCCTCCCCTCTTGCAACCATCAGCCTGATCTCTGTATCTATGAGTCTATTTGTGTTCATTTATGTTACTCTTTATTTTCCATGTGTAAGTGGATGCACTTTTTAATGTACCAAAAGGAGTTTTAAGAAGTTAAAATGATGGTAGTGATAAAGAAAAAAAATTTTCTGTATGTATGTATGTATCTATTTTTACCGTCTAGGAACCTGGGAGAAGAGTGTGATGATGGAGATCTTTTGAGTGGAGACGGCTGCTCAAGGACATGTAACCTAGAGGAAGGCTTCAACTGTGTAGGTGAGTTTAGGAGCACCTGCAGAGACACATGTACTAATTTTAGAGGTATCCCCACATCTTATTTTTTGAGCTCTTGATATCTTGTAACACATAGCTTAGCTATGATAGTAATAATGGCAGAGACATTTGATGGGTCTGTTGTGTGCCAGGCACTAATTGTTTCACATACATTATCTCATTTAATCCCTACTCTCAGTATGAGGTCACTAAACTGAGGCACAGGGACCTTCTCTTACACAGCTAGAGGTGGTGACGTGAGGATTTGAGCCAAGGAAGTACGGCTCTAGAATCTGTGTGTTAAACCACTAGGTTGTACTGCCACCTAGATTAATGTTACCAAGGATTTCTCCTGGGTCCTCAGGTCTAATACCAATGCCAGCTAAGTGACTCAATCATTATGGATGCTACATAAAAATAGGGTAAGGGATGATTCTAAGCCAAAAGGAGAGCTGTGTTGAGCAGGTAAGATCATGAAGAATGACAGCAGGTCATAACAGTTCTTAACCTTGGAGATTCGCTGGTAAGGAGTTAGAAAGGGGTGGCTTCAACTCTAGACCCCTGCCACTCAGAGAAGCCTCCTGGCCCCCTTCCCCCAATTCTGATTAAAATTGTCATCAGCAGGCTTCTTAGAAGTGGACTGTTTTCCCATTCCCATCTGCATACACTGAGGTGATTCTCTGGGACATCACCACTCAGCAAAGTTATTTTAAGCAGTAGTGCATTTAAAAATATTTTAATGTCTCTAAATCTCAAGATAAAGTAGGCTATGATTATAATCAGGTGGAATGTATTAAGGGGTGAAGTACTGTACAGAACACACAAGTGCCCCTGCTCTCTAGAGTAGAATCGTAAGTAGTCTTCCATCCATCCAACAAAAAATAGTCACTGTGCACAAGTACCACGAGCGAGCCTAAGAGACACCTGCTCCCTGCCTGCACACAGGCCGGCAGTGACTAAGTCCAGCTTCCTTCCACTGGTTCCTGAGAGGTGGGCCTCTTGTATGTAGGTCCTGCTTCCATGCGTCCAGCAGTGAAGAATGCCCCTTGAAACAGACCGCTCTGTTTAAAAAGGGCTTTATCTGTCATAAAATTCTCCTCTCCTTTCTGGTTAGGAACTGAGGCTTGGAGCATTTTAGCGACTCATCTGTAGCATGACAGCAAGTTCCTTGCAGAGCCAGCCTGGGACTTAGCTTTCCTAGTGCTTAGTCAAGAGTTTTTTTCTTGCTATGAAACTACAGAGGATTTTTTCCCCTGTTTGACTTGACTACCATTCAGATATTTGAAATGCTTCCTCATTATTGTCCTTTCCAATCCAAACATCCCCTCGTGGGATCAGGTTTCCAGACCCTTTCCCATTTACCCTAACCTGGCATGCTTCATGTGGTCAATGCCCAGAAAGGAATCCAGTACTCCAGATGTGGCCTGCCTGTGCGGAATACACGGAACCAATTACCTGCCCCCTTCTGTGCACAAGTATTTGTTAATCCCACCTCTGTTTGCATTGTTTCTATTTGTTGTACATAGAGGGCTTACACTGAACACACAAGACTCTCTCTCTCTTCCCCCCCTCCCTCCCTCTCCCCAGACACTGTGCCTTCTCCAGTGCAGCTCAAATCTCGTTTCACTTCAGAGCCAACCCCACTTGGTTGCTATCACATCTGATCCCATTAAGTTGGGCTTATATTTCCTCAGGCTCTAACTCCAGTAAGACTATCCCTAAACCTTACAGGGTAAAGTTAAAAACGATATAGTCCACAGTTAGACATCTGTCTTAGTGAGTGGTATATTTATAGCAGGCTAAGCATATAGGCCTCCTGATCATTTCTCCAAAGGTTAGATTTGAAGGAATTATCGTGAAATATGTTTTAAAAGTGTCTGTTAATTTTTAGGTGGATTTGAAAAAGACAGAGGCAAAAATTTTAAAGTGGTTAAATAGAAAAAAGAGAGAGAAACAAGAAGAAACAGTCACTGGTTAATAAACAGAAAAACAGGATAAATACATATCTGTTATAAACATATACATTATAAAGTATATGCACATATTCAGATATACATATATGTGTACATATACATCTAAAATATATGCATATTTATGTACATAAGTACATGTTACATATATCTTTATTATGAGAGAGAAAGAATCATCATGGGAAGTCATTCTAAATACACATATATTGGCTTTGGGTAGTGATTTGAACAGGCCATGGGTTTAATGAAATGCAGGAATTTAAGGCCCCAAATAGGCTGAGAACCAAGTCCTCGGAACAGTGGCTTATTTCCTGGCAAGTAAAGCTCAATTTACCACAGAAGGGTCTTAGGTTTGAATAAATTACTAAGGAAAATGATTCATAAACACATGTTGATGAACAGTGAAAATTACTGGAACAGCCCTGTGGTATTGCTGTGAAGAATTAAAAATAAAAGGATTGGTATAGCAACGGCACAATTCAGTAATGATGTGATCGAATGTGTACCTATGGGTTGATTTATTTTGAATCATGATTTTATTTTCACGTCCAGTTATTTTAAGTAGAAGTGCAAAATTAGAATTGTGCTGCTAATATTAATAGTCCCAAATTTTGGTAGAAAATGTAGTGGAACTTAATAAATGGCTTTATAACTTCATCCCAGTTTTCTCCATTTGAGGCTAGTTTACATAGCGACAGCTGAGTACTATTCACTGGGTCAGAGAGCTCTATGAGCAATATGGGATGTGTCCAGAGAATACAAGCTCAATTTATGACCCCAATAGTTTTTTTTTGAGTATTCATTTCTTACCTGTTTGCTCTTGAAGGCAGTCCTGTCTGAGCTTGAGGCAGCGTGGAGTAATGGGGAGCCCCCTGAACCTGCATTCTGTAAGCTTGGCTCAAATCCAAGCTCTATGGCGTATGAGTCAAGGGACTTTGACAAGTTGCTTAAAATCACTGAGACTCAGGTTTCCTATTTATGAAACAAACAAAAAACACAAACCTCACGTGGTTGCTGTGAGACTAAAAGAAATAATACGTAGTAGCCCTTATAAACCTGTAGCCCAAATTGTCCAATTTCAGATCAGATGCATAGTGAGTTAAAGACACACAATTTAGCAGCTAAAAGTAATTGAAAGCCAGTCTCTCAAATGCCTTACTATTTCAAAAACTATGAAGGGGACCCAAATACCTAAAACATTATACCATTTATTTAAACTCTCTTTCTTCTTTTATCCCCAGCTTCCCCCAAGTATCTTACTCAACTAGTCGTTAAAATTTATTTCTACATCTAGCCCACAGCTACTTTTTCTCCCTGTTTCTTCTCCCTCATTCCCACTCCTTTCTATACCTTTATTATGTAGGTGGATTCTACCACTTTCCAATGGAAAATAATTGTGTGTGTATGTGTGTGTGTGTGTGTGTGTGGTCTGCATGTTTGGGGTGAGCATTTAGACTATCAATTATGGGATTCTCTAGTGGGCTGGAGAAAAAATGTAATTATTTTTACGTGACATATATTAAAACACATTTTCAAATATCATGCGATATTTTTTGGCAGGAGAGCCGAGCCTGTGCTATGTATTTAAGGGAGATGGGATATGCGAGTCTTTTGAGAAGGGAACCAGCCTCATAGACTGCGGCCTCCCTACTCCCGACGGATACCTGGATCAGTGGGCTACCCAAGCTTCCTCCGCTCATGAAGACAAGAACAAGTGTCCTGTTTCCTTGGTAACAGGGGAGCCTCGTTCCATGGTAAGTTAAGCCAGAAGAGCCAAGTTGGAGAAAGTTGTGAAGTGACATTTCTCCTAACTTTGACATTAGGTTTGGCCCTTACTAAACTCAGAATAAGGTAACATTAAGTGAAAAGCTTCTAGACTGGCAATCGGATCTCATTCCCTCCTCGGCCTCGTGCTCTCGCCAGTTTTCATCTAGGAACTTTGGCTATGCAATGGTTGGCTTCCAGGTCTACAAAACCACCTCAAAATTAACCTTAGAAGTACACGTATCAGAAATTACCCTTGGGCTTTGTGTTTGAGAGAATTTATTTTAAAAGAAGAAAAAGCAGCAGAAAAGAGTCTGAATGCCTGGATTACACCACCGGACCCACCAATATTACTAAGTGATGTTCAACAAGTCACTTAACCTCTCTGGGCCCCGGTTTTCTCATACATAAAATGAGTATAGTAATCATTTTGCATCCAACGCAATGATTTAAAGATCAAATAAAATTTAAAATATATATTAAAGAGCAAAGTATAATTTGATTTAAAGATTTCTTATTATTGAAGAAACTCTAGAGTTAGTACTAAGGACAAATGTTTTGTATATAATTTTTCTAGAATATCCATCTAAATAACTAGGAGATCCTCTGATGACTCTAAAGACTGACTTCTATGAATTATAGTTGAATACTGAAAAGCAGATTAAGAACTAGGCTGTTGGCTACTATTCCAGGTGTGTCCATTGCCAAATAAAGTCTTCTGTTCATCATAACAATGGGCAATACAGCCCTTCCAAGAGAAGTGAGATTTAGCGCTAAGTATTTTAGGCCAGCGTGAACCCTGGGTTTTAGACTTGAGACACCCCAGGAGATTGAGAGACCAACCAAGCTTGGTGCTCCAGTTCCAGAAACTCATCATAGACCAAGGTGTCTTCTGGGGTCTAGTTCTTTGCATCCTTGGCTTGTAACTTTCTTCCTCCTGCTGCTAAGATGCCTGCTTTTCCTCAAGGCTTGCAGTAGGCATTTCAAGCAGGAAGAAGGGAAACAGGTGTGTGCTAGCACCTATTTCTTATTGGGAAAATGGCAGCTTCTCCGGAAGTTCAACACTGTAGACTCCTGCCAACATCTTACTGGTCAGGTCCAGGTCACTTAATCACCCTTAGTTGCAAGGAACCCTGAGGACATGAGCCTTTATACCGAGATACACTGTCCCCTGGAACAGAACTGGAGTTTGTTCATATGAAAGTAATGGAAATAAATATGGGCAGGCAACTAGCCATGCCTGCCATACTCCCTCAGCTCAATTCTGGCATTTTTCTCAAGAGTCCTGGTGGCCAAAAGGCAAGAAGCCAGGAACGTTGGGAGGTTCTGAGTAAGTGACAGCTTTCTCAAGTGGCTTCTCATCTAGTCTGCCTGTGTTCCCTAAGTGAGGTGGGAGATATTTCCTGGAGTTTCCCATCTCGGCTCCTTGACCCATCTGAATGTTCAGCAGTTCCCTAACTCAGTAGCCTCTCTCCTGGGGCCAGTAAGTCCTGCAAGGTAAAGATCTAACCATTGTCCTGAACGGGCTTCCATGGCTAATCCCAGAGGCAGTTGCCTGAAATGCGCCAGGACTATTCTCTGGGCAAGATCCCCTGGTCAGCTGTGGGCTGAGGGTTGGCATGTGTGTTTCTCTGCCCAGGCAGGTTCTACCTGGAGGCTAATGGAGAGCGCTGAGACATTCCTCTATGTTGGGGAATGTTTTGTGCCAATAATGCGATCATCAGCCACTCAGAAAGAGAGGGAGACTTTGGCTTTGAGCTGGAGAGTGTCCTTGTCTTATCTCTCACCCTCCACATATGATTGTTGGTTGCAATTGCATTTCAGGTTTGCACATCGCACCGTCCAGATTCACCAGAGCATCTCCCCCTTCCCGGCTGGCTTCCCTGTGTCCCCAGTGGAAACAGACCTCGGGATGATGTCAGCGAGGGTAGCCTGGAGAGAGAGCGCGAGGTCTGGCTCAAAGTAAGTGGCCCAAATGTTTGTACCATGAAGGTTGCAGACGTATTGTACGTGTGTGCACAGAGGTGCATGTGTGTGTGCTTACACATGATTCACTGGAATGGCTTGTCAGAAAATTTCCTTTTGTCATCTCAAAGTGCATACATTTTGAATTTATTTTTACCTTTTCTTGAAGTTTGTGCTTCTTTATAAGTAATCAGTTTATCAAAGTGTGACATACTCACAGGAAAGTGCCAAGATCAGAAATGCAGAGATGAATGAGTTTTTGCAGAGTATACACTCTAACCACCCACATGGATCAAGAAACGAATGTTAACATCACCCCCAAATGTTCTCTCATTCTCCTCAGTTATTACCCCACAGAGGTACTTACTATTTGTACTTCTAGCACCATAGATTAGTTATGTTTGGTTTTGAGCTTCTCGTGAGAACCTTCACAGTATGTACTTTCATCATTGCAATATCGCATTCCAGTGCATGGATACACCACACTTTATCCCGATTGATGAGTGAGTGGATTAATTTTAGTGTTTCTCTATCACGATGTTACAAATAGTTCTGCCATAAACTTTCTGTACCCTTCTTTTGGTGAATGTACAGATATAGTTGGGTATATTTGGAACTGTTAGATCACAGGTAGGCAGTTGACCATCTTTCATAGATAATCCCAAATATTGTTTCACAGTAGTTGAGCTCCTACCAGAGGCTTATGAGTATTCCAGTTGCTTCACATTTTCCCCAAATGTGGTGTCTGACATCTCAGTTTCAGCTATTCTGTTGGGTGTGTGAAGGTATCCATCCCCCTGTGGTTTCAGTTTGTTCTGTTCTACTGGTCCGTACATTCTTGCATCAATGTTACGCTCTTACTTCTTGTACGTTTTTGAGGCGTCTTAAAATCTGATAATGTAAGTTCTAAAACTTTGCGTGTGTTTTTTTTCCAGAATGTCTTGGCTGTTCTTGGTCCTTTTAATTTCCATTTCCATTTTATAATAAGCTTCAGTTTCCACTTGTGGGAAAAAAATCTGATGCAATTTTGATTGGGATTTCATTGAATCTATGTCAATTTGGGGAGAGATTTCTCTTTAGCATACTAGTCTCCTAATATGTTCTTTCAGTTACTTAGATCTCCTTTAATTTCTCTTAACATTTTATAGCTTTCGGTCATAGGGGAGTTTAATTCTATCAAATGCCTTTCTGCACCTGAGATGTTCATATTATTTTCTCCTTTGTCCTGTCAATGTCTTGACTTTGATAAACTTTTAAATGCGAACCAATCTTACATACCTAGAAAAAAACAACTTGAAGGTGATGTATAATCCTTTGTCAATAATTTTGGAATCATTTTGTGGATATTTTAAGTAATTTTTTCACCTATGTTCATTAGACCTTGGCTCCCAATTTTCTTATATTTTACCATCTTATCAGGATTTATGATGAAGGCTAGATTTTACTTCCTAAAATAAGTTTCTTTTTTCTCCAGTTCTCTGGAATATTTTATGTAAGGTTGGTATTAATTTTAGAGGTATTCATCAGTGATGCTATTTAAACCTGGAGTTTTCTTTGAGGAAAAAAATTATCCTCTTTGCTTTCAAGGTTATAAAATAAATCTTGAGAGTATTTTTTAGTCAGTTTTTTTTCTTGGACTCACTCGCTCTGGGGCACCTTCATCCTCTGTCACCACCACTCTTGTCATTCACATGGGCAAGTTCACCTTCACTGAGCCCCTCTGGCTGGATACCTAGGCTCTGTCAAATGGCAGTGGCCTCAGCATTCCCACAGTCGGCTGTTTTTTGTGTACCTCTATTTACTTTTAATTCATATTTTTTTTCTGCACTGTCATCCTTGTTGGCAAATTCCCTCTTCAGATGATCTGGTTTTGTAAAATGTCATGGGGGTTTATCACTGGGAGACAAAGGGGCAACACAAATACACACTTTTCTGTCTCCACGTAAACTGATGACAGGGCACAGTGGCCAACCAGTGATAGACTTTGCGGGAAGTGCTAGAATTGGTCCCTGATTGTGATTCATTCTAGTAGTTTTTTGGTGGAATCTTTAGGGTTCTCTAGATACAGTTTCATGTCATCTGCAAATAATGATGGTTTTGCTTCTTTCTTTCCAATTTGGATGCCTTTTATTTCTTCTTCTCTGGTTGCTGTGGCTGGGACTTCCAGTACTAGGTTGAGTAAGAGCAGTGCAAGCGGACACCCATCTTGTTCCTGATGTTAAGGGACATGCTTGTAGTTTTTGCCCATCGCCTGTCATGTTGGCTGTGTATTTCTATAACTTTGACTATGTGAATATGCCTGGTAGAGCATGTCCCCCTTCACTTTTTGCACGTTAAAAAAAATGCATTAGCTATTTATTATTTATGAACATTTATTTTCCATAGAAATTTTAGTGTAAGTCTTAGATCAATTCTTCCACCTTTTGAAGAACATACTGGTACATATGAGCTGAAAAAATCAAAGACTTGATTTTTATCAGGTGACATAATCACCTGATTTTTCTCCTTTGGTCTATCATTATGTTGAATCACATTGATAGATTTGTTTTATTTTTTTAGACATCAAATCATTTTTTGTCTTCATGAAGTGAACTTGTTTATGGTATATTTTAAATATATTCTTGGATTTTATCGGTTAACCTTTTATTTTGGATTTTTGCATTTGTAGTCTTATATGGAATTAGTATATGTCTTCCTTTTTTAAACATTTAGATTTTACAAGCCTTATAAAATTGGGCAGTTTCCCCTTTTTTTAATTTTCTGAAACCACCTGCACAAAATAGGAGGTATCTGTTCCTTCGAAGTTTGGCAAAACCCACCTGTAAAACCAACTGGGCCTGGGGCTTCTTTGAGAAAAGGTTTATGATTGTCATTTAAATGCCTTTGATTTTTATTAAAATATAATCAATTTTTTATTTCCAATTTTGGACTATTTGATATTCCCATAAAGTTATGAATTTCTTCCACACGTTCAAATTTAGTGCTGATAGTTGTTCACAATGTATTTTTATTATGTCTCATCTCTGTGTTAGCTATAGTTATAAATCTCTTTATATTATATGTTTTTGAATTTCCTTTTTCTCTTTTTTTCCCTTGATTACTTGTGCCTGGGATTTCTTCAAAACTAACTTTCAGTTTTCTTTACTTCTTTTATCCTTCTAGTTCCCGAACTCACCGATTCCTATTCTCATTGTCATCACTTCTCTCCCTGTGTCCGGGACTGACGCCGCCGTTATTCATTAGCGTCTTGTGTTGAATCCTTGAATGATTTGTTTTCGTTGTTCTCTAATTTCCCCCCTCTAAGTACTACTTTGATTGTAGCCCATGAATGTTGACACAGTACTTTCATTGTCAATATGGCCTAAGTATTTTGAAATATCTCATAATTTCTTTTTAAAATCATGGGTTTTTAATAGCATTCTGTTTGTTTCTAGCACTGATTTTTCAGAGCATAACAACTTTGTTTTTGTGCCAACTGTGTGTCATTATGAGTGGTTTTTATTTTCCCTCTTCCTCTTGGCCCTACCTTTTAGTAGGATGCACTTAAATAGTGAGCCTGTGTTCATTCAGAAATTAAGGACCAGTTCGGATTAGAGACTTGTATTCTCTATTCATTGGTCAAAAAGTGTCTACCAATCTTAACGTTTTTCTCTCTCTAGTTTGTTTAAAATTATCCACAAAATCCTTTCCTCCATTCCTTGTTTCTTTTTTATTAGTGTTCTCTGTTTTTATTTTATCTGTTCATTTTTTTATTGTGCTCTCTTATATCTTTTCAACTTTGGATTGCCGAAAAAAGTATTTCAGATAAACAGGGAGTAAATTTTAAGTGTAAATAAGTCCCACTCTATACTCAGGGCATGCTTATGCTAAAAAATTATTTGTTGTTGCTCTGATATTCAAATTTAAGTGGATATCCTTTTTGTTTTTGCTAAATCAGGCAACCTTTCTAATTCTTTTAAATTTAATCAGTCAGGTGTCAGTCCTCTATACAGAGGTGATTTCAACCATCCAGAAAAATGTACTGATTTCATAATTTAGCAAAAAAAGAGCTCATGTGTGGAAGGCACCATGTCCTATTGATACTTTGAATTTTTTTATTTTGTTCATAGGAAAGTTGACAAGACCCTTTGTTAGAGCCTATTTACTTTTGCATGAAATTCTAACAATATTAGTTTTCTGAATTTTCAATCTGTCACAGAAAAGGAGCAACGAATTAGTAGGCAATTTAGAAACTGAGAGGAAGCATGTACTCAGAGGAATGGTATTTTAAGCCCTGTTTTTGCCACTAACCAGCCAAGTGACCTTACATAAATCATATAACCTTCTTGAGCTCCAGTTTCCTTGTTTTTTTAAATTTATTTTTATTATTGAAAGTATTGCAGGTGTCCTTTTTTTTCCCCCACTGCCCCCTTCCACCCACACCCACACCCACACCCACACCTTCCCCACACTATTGTCTGCGTCCATGGGTTATGCATATATGCACATAAATTCTTTGGTTAATCTCTCCCCACCCACCCTCTGAGATTCATCAGTCTGCTCCGTGCTTCTATGTCACTGAATCTACTTTGTTCATCAGTTTATTTTGTTCGTTAGTTTCCACACATGAGTGAGGTCATGTGATGCTTGTCTTTCTCTGACTGGCTTATTTCTCTTAGCATAATGCTCTCCAGGCCCCTCATGCTGTCTCAAAGGGTAAGCAGTTGTCTTAGTTTTAAAATAAGGTGTTCGGACAAGACAATTTCTTCCAGGTCTGCATTTTATTTTAAGCTTGATGGTACATTTTAAAAAATGAGATAACACATATTATTAATAAAAGAAGCAGTCTTAGGCTATCAGATGCTAAGGGTAAAGATAGTTATATCCATTGATGCCTTTAGAGCCTCCCATCTCACAGGGAGCTGGGACGGCCCTTCCGAATTGACCCCCCTGTGTACCGTTCACTCCTATCAAAAGGCCATCGGACATGGACTTCTGCCCTCTCCTCCCATTCTGGC